TTGGGGTTTGGGGTTTGTATTTGGGGTTTGGGGTTTGGGGTTTGTATTTGGGTTTGGGGTTGGGGTTTGGGTTTGGGATTTGGGGTTTGGGGTTTGGGGTTTGTATTTGGGGTTTGTATTTGGGGTTTGTATTTGGGGTTTGGGGTTTGGGGTTTGGGGTTTGTATTTGGGTTTGGGGTTTGGGTTTGGGGTTTGGGTTTGGGATTTGGGGTTTGAGGTTTGGATTTGGGGTTCGGGGTTTGGGGTCTGGTTTGGGTTTGGGGTCTGGTTTGGATTTTGGTTTGGGTTTGGGTTTGGGGTCTGGTTTGGGTTTGGGGTCTGGTTTGGGTTGGTGGTGACCCGTGTCCCCACAGAGCAAGGGCGGGATCCTGTCCAAGGCCTGCGACTACATCCAGGAGCTGCGGCAGAGCAACCTGAGGCTGAGCGAGGAGCTGCAGGGCCTGGACCAGCTGCAGATGGACAACGAGGTCCTGCGGCAGCAGGTGGGGCTGGGAACGGGACTGGGGTCATTGGGGTCATGGCAATGGGATTGGGGTCCATGGGGTGGGATTGGGGTCATGGGAATGGGATTGGGGTCATGGGAATGGGATTGGGGTCATGGGAATGGGATTGGGGTCATTGGGGTCATGGGAATGGGATTGGGGTCATGGGAATGGGATTGGGGTCCATGGGGTGGGATTGGGGTCATGGGAATGGGATTGGGGTCATGGGAATGGGATTGGGGTCATTGGGGTCATGGGAATGGGATTGGGGTCATGGGAAGGGGATTGGGGTCATTGGGGTGGGATTGGGGTCATTGGGGTCATGGGAATGGGATTGGGAATGGGATTGGGGTCGTTGGGATGGGATTGGGGTCATTGAGCTCAATGGGATCAATGGGATCAATGGGATGGGATTTGGGCCAGTGGGGTGGGATTGGGGTCAATGGGATGGAATCGGGATGGGTTTGGGATCAGTGGGGTTGGATTGGGATCAATGGGATCAGTGGGGTGGGATTTGGGTCATTGGGATCATTGGGATCATTGGGATTGGGATCATTGGGATCATTGGGATCATTGGGATCATTGGGATTGGGGTCATTGGGATGGGATTGTGATCAATGGGATCAATGGGATCAATGGTATTTGGGTCATTGGGATCAATGGGATCAATGGGGTGAGATTGGGGTCATTGGGATGGGATTGGGATCATTGGGGTAAATGGGATTGGGGTCATTGGGATCAATGGGATCATTGGGATCATTGGGATTGGGGTCATTGGGATGGAATTGTGATCAATAGGATCAATGGGATCAATGGGATCAATGGTATTTGGGTCATTGGGATCAATGGGATCAATGGGATTGGGGTCATTGGGATGGGATTGGGATCATTGGGGTAAATGGGATTGGGTCACTGGGATCAATGGGATGGGATTGGGATGGGATTGGGATCAATGGCATCAATGGGATTGGGGTCATTGGGATCAATGGGATCAATGGGGTGGGATTGGGAATGGAATTGGGGTCATGGGAATGGGATTGGGGTCATTGGGATCAAAGGGATGGGTTTGGGGTCATTGGAGGATATTTTGGGGTCACTGGGGGATATTTTGGGGTTTCTGGAGGATCTTTTGGGGTGTCTGACCCCCCAAAATCCAGATGAAGGAGCTG